AGCGTTGGATGAACGGTTAGTTCTGTTTTGACTCGTCAGTTTGGGTTCATTCCCCCCGCCTAGACAGGAATCAGACTTTTGAATTCTCGACGTCACTAAGTCACGAGTGAAGCTGGCATACCGTCATGATTTATGGTTAACTAGGATATAGTGTGGCTCATCTTCCGCTACCATGCAGCTTACTAGATTTACAGAAGACTGAGTTGGCCCCCAGAGCTACGGCCTTCTGGAGACTGTTCAACATAGAATTTAAATACTGTCCAAAAAATGTTTTACCACTCACCGCTAAGGGTTTTTGCGACACCAATGATTTTTCGTTGTAACAAGCTTTCGGCCAGACGGTTTCCGATGCATCTGACGAAAGGCTTGACGGCCCTTTCATCCTTTTGGGGATTGTCAATAGCGCGCATCTCCCAACCCCACCGGGAACCAAACCAATGACCTCTCGATGTCCGTAGGTTGTGTTACAGATGATGAATTATCTCTACATTAAAAAATCCCTTACTCAAAGTAAAAGATGCATCTTGGGAATAAAGCGTCGGCGCGGAAATGCTGTTATAAGACTTCGATCCGTATTGAACAATAATGCGACGTTTATGTTAACCACTGATCCGTCAGATCCAACGGAAGGTCTCAACACAGTAGGATATGTGGCTGCATGCAAACTACTAATGTGGCCAGAATCAATTCCGGAGCACTCTAGTACCATCTTGAGGTGCCGATCCATCTGGCGACAGAAGTTATACGAAAGTTCACGCTTACTGGTCGTATTCACACGAATTAGAGCTTCATCATATCATGATAGACGTTAGCTAGAGGTGGGAACAGTTGTAACGCTTGCTCCTTTCCCTTCACTTCTGCCACTGACAACTGTTGTAACTATTGCTACAGGAAGCACCTCAGCTACTGTGCCGCAATGCATAGAATCGAAAAGAGGAAAAATGTGACCGGTGCAAGCCAGCTGAGCTCCCGGTAACGGATGGACATCACTCCGACAAGCTACCAGTCGGCTACTATGCAGCAAAAAATAATTACTATGCAAATTATATAAAAGGCTAAGTAGTGAGATCGTGGTTGGAGGAGAAGGCTAAGAGGGATGGGTAGGACAAAGAAACTCACAGCACGAACGCCGCTGACCTCGGCTCCTAGCCATATCAGCAAGTGTGTCCAATCAAACGTGTTCATCGTCTTTCGGACCCAACCAGGGAGCCGTGAAGCTCCAATCGAGGCTAGTTCCGAAGTGAGGGACTTCATTCCTCTGGACCAAGTCATCGCTTGGCCAACTCTCCTCTTCCTCCACCCACATCCCCGGTGAGCAAACAACGCACGTCGAGGGAGTCGATGGGCTGGGATGCACAACACGTGGCCGAGCTATCGGAGCCTGGTGCGTGAAATAAAAGTGCTGAGCGATTCAGTTCCGTTTTCCTGTGCCAAAAACAAGGCGTCGAACATGCTCGTTGCTCACGCGGTGTTCCCACCAGATGTGAGCTAAATTACGAAGGCACCGGTGGTCGAAGGTAACTATCCTCTTTATGTCCGATGACATAGGGGGTCAACTTTCACAACCGTACAGTAGGTTCCAAGGTACCGCTGTATTGTACACTCCAGCATTCGGGGCGGGAGTGATGTCGTGCCAGCGCCATAGGTGCCGAAGACTAGTTGAAGCTCCTCCAGCTTTTGCTATACAGTTCGTGATCTCATGTTCAATCCCAAGGGCGCTGATACAACTTTTCAGTAGGTCGAATTTGTAAACGACTTTATCACCAAGGGTCAGCGCAGGAAGCGGTTCAGGCCAATCCTGGAGGAACGCTTTGCACTTCGAGGGATGCGAAGCAAAGCCCGAAGTGACGGAAAGCCAGTGCTAATCTGTTCAGTGCAGCTTGGCCTGTTTGTGAGCAGTCACAGATTAGGGCAATATTGTCAACATACTCCAAGTCAATAAATCATTCTCCTAGGAGAAGTTCCACAGCTTCTAAGTCATGTACTGTGAACGCGGTTTCCAGAACTTCGTCAATAGTCAAGCTGAAGAGGAAAGGTGACAGTGGGCATCCTTGTCTCACACCGCTGGAGATATTAAAGGGTGATAACAGCTAGCCATAAGCCCTCACTTTGCCCGAGATACGCGCTGATAATGTTCGCAGGATATTTATATATTTCTCGGGCACAGCTTTCCTGACTAGACAGTCCCAAAGTGTAAGTCTATCCACCGAATCGAATGCACCTTTGATATCGAGGAACATGACAACGATGGCCGCCAATATATGTGACGGTGCTCCAACAACTGACGCAAGATGAAGATGTAGTCAATGCAGCCACGACCTCGACGAAACCCGGCTTGCTATTCATGAATATGGTTTTCACGAGTGCCAGTAAGTCCGTGAAGGATGACAGACGCAAACAATTTGGAGGCGATGGAGAGCAGACTACGGTTGCCGCATTCCGATCATGAACCTCCTTTGAAAATTGCGACTATGACGGAGCGGCTCCACTCGGTTAGGACAGTTTCCTTCCCCCACAGTTCCACTAGTAATCCGCGTAAATCCTCAAAAAGAGCAGGGCTGCCGAATTTGATGTGAGCTGAAGGAAGCTCATCTGGTCCCGCGGCTTTTTTTCGAGTTCAACAGTCCGATCTCATTTTCCACTTCTGAGCGAGAGGGTGAATCCAAAGGGAGAGCCAAGTGAGCGGGGCGATCCCTGGCCGTTGGGGAATCTAACAACTCCGGCTGATTAAATTGTTTTCAAAATGCTCAGTCCAACGCTCCAAGCGTTTTGATGTGTTGTAGATTGGTTGTCCAGTCTTGTCACAAACTATCGCACTAACACCAAGTCTCCTGCTGCCAGTTCCCCGTATCATCCGGAATAACTTACTACGGTTACCAAGGACAGCGGCCACGTCCATCTCTGACGCTCGATAAGACCACCAAGATTCGCGGTCTCTTCAGACTAGCACGGAGTTTTGCCCGGAGCTCTTTGCAAGTTTCATTGTGTTCACTTTCATCTGGAATGTGCTGACGAGCATCGTTAAGTTCCAGAGACTGCGAAGAGACCCAATGTCCATGTTTGCTCTTAGACTTACCACATGAGGATTTGCCTGCAGGTCTGGTGAACATGAGACCAGTGAGTTTCAATTGTATCCAATGAGAGCTTACACAACTCTCATGTCAGTCTATTTCGATACGCATTCGGAACAGTTTACTTCGCCAGTTGGCTGGTGTGAACGCGCTCACAGCGTCGTCGTGTGAGTCGGCCAAAATGCATCCGCATGTCAGCACTTACAAATGCATGGTCGGTGTCCATACGTGTGCTCCAAATCGAGTGACAGTTCCCGATGCAGCCTTTCCAGCGGTAACTTATCGCAATGTGATCGAGTTGCGTCCATAGCTGGTTGGAGGCTGATAGGTGCCAAGTCACCCTCCGGCGGGTGCTGTGTCGGCAAGTAGTGCTCGCAAGAAATAAGCGGCCATCTTCACACAGACGAAGTAACCACTCACCGTTATCATTACGAGAGCCTACACCCAGTTAGCCGACCAGATGCCGTTCATCAGTGGATAATTTTTCAACTTGAGCCTTCAGATCCCCAGCTAGCACTACAGTGTCCGAGCTTCTTCTGTGGCTAAAGAGCTCGTTCAGGTGGCGGCAGAAGCCGTCTTTTACCGAAGCATCGCTAGAGTTTGTGGGTGCATAGGCAGCGATGACGAATAGACACCTGTTAATCCCGCCTGACTTCGAAGCTTTGAACAAGCCAGCCAATCGGACCACACACATCCGGCTACTGCTTGGGCTTCAGTCAACCAGAGAAGTTCCAGCCCGGGGACTCAGAGCAATACCAACACCGGCTTGGCCGGTGCTCGAAGCTGCATAGTCACCGGTAGGCGCAATGAAAAAGTGCTGCTAGTGTCACCTGAAGGGGATCGCAGAGTGCGTACAGAGCTCGAGTCTTGCAGGCGGACCTCCGATAAGCAGCAGATATTGATGGAGAGGGTCTCTAATGTTTGCGCAAGTACCGCCTGTTGACCGATCTGTAGCATTGTGCTTGCACTGAGGCATGCCTTTCTGAAGGAAGATCATGGGCTCCAAATGGAAGCCGTGAAATAGGATGGACCGCTTGGTTGGACATGGACTTGTCCACAGGACAGGAGTGACGCTCCGTGTTCGGATGTAAGTTGAATAAAGAAGATAAACGCCTGGAAAAGCATGTTGGGTAAGGGCTAAGAATCGGGGGGTTAAAAAGTGGGGGGAAAAGTACAGCTGGAACCGGACGATAAGGGTGAAAAAGCGTAAGAAGGGGAATAAGAAGATGGCAAAGCATGAGTAGTAGAATCAAAACCCCTATCTACCCTGCTCGACGCAGCAAATAGTGTGCCGTTTATTATCCTCTGCGAAGACCATAGCATCAGGCAATTGTTTGACGAAAGATTCATAGTATTTCGTGGGCAGGATACTGTGAGGTTGCCCAGGCCTAGACAAGAGAACGATTTGGGTGCTCAAGTAAAGCCTTTGGTTCAAATACTTCACCGCAAAGCAGCGTGTTTGGCGTTGGGCTACAAGAAAAAGTTTTAAAGAATAAGGAGCCACCCGCATTTCAACCCCTAATCTGGAGAACCAGGAGATTGAGTTTGTCTGGCCTCTAACCATTGACAAATCTGGTAGGAGTGGCTCTGAAGGTACAAAAATGAACCACACAGCAAAGCTTAATGGATCTCTGAAGCACGCAAACCATCGCATGCCGGTAAGGTCCAGCCTTATTGCGATGGGAATAGTTGACTATTTGTACATCGTCCATTCAATCAGCCAACCAAATCCAACGCGTGTTTGGGTTGCATGGTGCATAGCCGAGTTGATGAGAGACTATGGGTAGCTGTCACAGACAGCACGCCCCCAATGCCAATTCGCTTCAGTACCACTTAAATAGGCAAACGAACCCTCCACGCTCTGCGAATCTAATCATCTAAAATTTGCTACAAGGAAACTTTCTGTAGGGGATGTATCAGTAGACTTACTCAGTTTGCCAAATTTGCTGAATTGCTAACGTGAGGGCGCATGGAGTGAACAGGCTTTTTTGACAAAACTGGAATGCCTTTTGACGTACTGCATGCCATGGTACCGGAGATCGTACCACATAGCTTGGATATGGGACCGGAATCCAGCTGACAAAAAGGCGTTTACGTTCCGCAGGATCCAGCAAGATGTAATCAACTGCGGGTGGATAGAGAAGAAGGGTTAATACCGCAACATCTCGTGAGCAGACTCATGGGCGTTAATGCCGTCTTTTGGCATATCAAATGTGGCAGAATGAAGAATCTCAAATACCCTCTATAACCGGTGCCTGAAGGATTAAAATAGCCGTCTTAATTGTATAACTCAGTGCTAACCATGCGACATGTAAATCGGGTTACTTCATCTCGCGGGCTGGACCTTCTATCCTTGTGTTGACTTGTGAGACATGCTTGTGGCAAAGACATCTGTATCCTCCATGGAGTGCTTGATTAGAGAAGGAAGATATTGTTTTTGCTAAATAAGTAGGCATAATCTTAGCATTTAAATGCCCTGAATGAAATAATGTTATGGATACAGTCATCACGGTCTTAAACCTTTCTGCTGATTTAAGTATCCGGTCATTGGTAGAGTTGGTTCGGTACCTGAGACAGCTTGGGACCAGATCTTGGATGATGGATTTCATTGTGCACTTATCAACACACACAAGTGAATTCACCAGCTTAGCGTTGATTTATCTTAGGTGTACCCCCAGGAGTCAGAAGTCAGGAGGCACAGTAACCACACACAAAGCGGGGACATCATCCTTATCCAAGTTAGCTAGAGGTGTGAGACACATCTGACTTTGTGCCACAATACATCAGAAAGGAAAAAAGACGCAACACAAACTCGCCAGCTGAGCCGCTAGTAACGCATGGACATCGTTCCGGAGAGCTAGCATCCGGCTATTGCGGTGCAAAGGATGAACTTAACTTATGCGTCATAAATGAGATCGTGGTTGGAAGGGGGAGGCTAAGCCGGAGGGAAAGGGATAAATAAACTGACAACACGCCCCACTGAGGTCTGCTCTAGCCATGTCAACAAGTGTACCCAGACAAACGTGCTCATCGTTTTACGCGCAGAGAAACTTCAACCGAGATCAGCATCGAACTAAGGATCTTCATTCCTCTTGACCATGTCATCGGCTGGCCTCCCTCCCTCCCCCAGTCGCGCAAATAAGGTACATCGCGGGAGTCGGTGTGCTAGTATGCGCAACACGTGGTCCAGCCATCAAAGCCTGGTACGTTAACTAACGGTGCTAAGCGGTTCACTTCCTCTTCTTGAGTCATAAACAAGGCACCGAGCACGCTCATCAGTTACGCGGTTTCCCCTCCAGTTATGAGACAAACTGCATAGGTACCGGTGGTTGGACGTAACTAGCCTTTAGGTCTGTCGATCAGATGGGCCAGGTTTCACAACCGTACAGTAGGGTAGAATGTGCGGCTACATTGTACACTCTAACCTTCAGGGAGAAAGTGATGTCACGCCATCGCCATAGGTGGCGCCTTGAGCTTTGGCTGTATGGTTTGTGATCTTCTCTTCGATTCTACAGGCGCTCATACAACTGTCTACGTAGTGCGGAGTACAGAAATACAAAGAAACCGCATTAACAGATGAAATGCCGAACACTTTCTCTTTGTATGTTCGTCTTGTGTGTGTGTCTGTGGCGTACACATGCATGAACGCTACCTGGTGCAAGTGAGAATCACATTGATCACAAGTTTCCGATTAAATGCTCCTTATTCTAGCTCTCTAGTTTAATTCGCTCTCGTCATCACGTACTTTTTACCCGTCGTCTATGGAGGTAGTTTGGTGCATTATGGGACGCTCGTTAGAGCCGATGGCATAACAGTCGAGGATGCTCACGTGTGTACAAATCTACAAATTTCATGGACACATGAATGACTACGCAGCACACGACATTGCCAGAGGACTCTTGGCGTCTAACATGGTTTTTTCATTCTGGGATAAACAAATCCTACAAGATTTCCGTCTGTCAAAATACAGAATCGCCGCGATAAAAAGGATGCATTTTGCAAAGCTCGAAAAATGGACTGGCACCTTTGCCCAAACGCTCCGAGTTAGTTCACGCCGTGCGTCAAATATATATATATATATATATATATATATATATATATATATATATATATATATATATATATATATATATATATATATATATAAAATCATCAACAGCAGTACATCAGCCATTTGAACTGACGCTTTGCCGCCAAACAACCATGAGGACCTATGAAATAAGGAATAAGAAGAGGGAGAGAAGGGGGACTTCTCTGAAAACCTTAATGCCCTAAGCAAACATTCAGCGTCAAGGCGCCTAGACCTTGTATAGACAACATTCCGTCACAAACTGCCGGCTATCGTGCAAAGATAAGAAGGCATTGTCGAGACAGCTTCCTTGCGGCTTTCATTGCCACGCGTCATAATCAGCCATTACCCCGCAGATAACTCAGCACCAAACACACTTTAAACAGGCAATCCGATTAGGAGACGGCAGCAGACGCGCCACTGGTGTCTACTGCGAGCCATGTCCTGTAAAGTCTCGAGCCAAGCACAAGGCGAGTCACGTGGACTCCAGCCTAGAAGGCGAGACGGACCAACGGCACCCAGTTTGGTCGTCAGTGACTTCATTTCCCGCTGCCAAGTCAACTTCTGTCCACCTCGAGCCTTGCGCCATCCGACACCTGGTAGACTGAACAAGGCCCTCCTAGGTAAGCGGTGACCAGGCATACGTAGCACGTCCCCGAGCCAACGCAACTTATTCAGTGCTATCTGTTGTTCTAAGGAGCTAGCATGATTATCACTACCTAGTACTCGCCTACGCACATCATCGTTGCGGACACGCTGGTGCCATCTGACACCGGCACTGCTTCGCAGACAACGATGATCGAAGACTTGAAGGCACCTCAGATGTTCAGACCGAAGGAGCCAAGTCTCACTACCATAGAGCAGAACGGCCCTCACTGTGGCCTTGTATACACGGCCTTTCAGACGAAAGGGAACTCCTTTCCGTCGCCAAAGATACCGCAAAGATACCGCAAGGCAGCTCTGACCTTTGCAATACATGAGCTGACCTCAGTTTCTATGCGTCCATCTTTGTTGATGCAGCTGCCAGGATAAGTGCAATGATCAACCACCTCGAGTTCCTCGTTAGCAAGCGTCAAGAGGTCATCAAGTGGCTGGTGGTCCTGTAGCTACGCTTTGCACTTTGAAGGTTCGAAGTGCATGCCAAATAATGGGACCACTCGGGACAGGCTTTTCAAGGTCGATTGGGCCGCCCAAAATTGTCAAAAAGCAAGACGATATCGTCCGCATAATCAAGATCAACTAACCTTCCACCAGGCAGCACTTCAACGCCTACATCGTGAGATTCCCTAAGGAAACACTCTATGATAGGATCCACGACGAAAGTGAACAAAAATGGGGAAATCGGACAACCCTGACGAACGCCACTTGTGGTCGGAAAGCTATCCGAGAGGAAACCGGAGACCCTGACGCGGCCTGTAGTGTTCAAATATGGAGCACGATGTTCACATATTTTGTGAGAACACCTTTCCGCGCAAGTATTTCGAACAGAATGCATCAATCTACTGAATCGCACTCACTCTTGAAATCAAGGAACACAGCTATTGTCGGTCTGCGGTATGCGTGGCGCTGCTCGAGCACCTGCCGCAAAGTGAATATATGGTCTATACAGCCACATCCTGGGTGGAAACCGGCCTGCTCTTCCCTAATCCGAGACTCCCGTTCCGCAGTAAGGCGACGAACGATAATCGAGACCAGTAATTTTGTCACAACTGGTGTTGGGCTAATAACCCTGTGGTTAGAACAGTCTGTGCGACTGCCCTTCTTGTATATTGCTACTATAATCGATTCAACCCAGTTAGTCGAGACCCTCTCTTCCTTCCAGATACATTCGAATAGGCAGGTCAGTGTTTTGCAGAGGACCTCACCTCCATCCTGAAATAGTGCAGGTGAGAGGGAATCCGGGCCAAAGGCACAAGAACGATTAAGGGTTGTGATCGCGTTTCGGACCTCGGCCTCCGACAGAGGCTCTGACATAACCGTCCATGGCTCGTCCTGCATCACCTGAGTAGGAAGAGGTCCGGGATCAGGGGGCCAAGTAAACTGATCTTAAAAGTGTTCCGCCCAGCGAGCCATACGGCGCTATTTATTGTGTATCAGCGAACCCGCGCTGTCTCTGATTGCCTCACTGACGCCTGGTTTTCTGGGACTAGTGGTGCGGATTAGCTGGAAGAGCTTGCGGTAATTGCCTACTTCTCCTGCATTCTCCATTTCTTGAGCCATACTGGTCCACCATGTTTCCTTGTCAGCACGTAGGCTGTGCTTTAGTTCACACCTAATAGCCCGTCTGGTCACATTGTGTTCAGAGCCAGCCGGGAGGTGTCTTCTAGATTCCAACAGGTTCACCGACTTCTCGGATATCCAGTGACTGGTGCGGTGACGATGGATAGTGCCAAAGCATGTGCTCCTGCTTCGCACATGGTGGCCGAGATCCCATCCTACTGAAGCTCAGTATCATTAGCACAATACAGCGAAAGCTCGGTATACAGTGCTTCTTCATAGGCTTGTCTGACCGAGGACTGAGACAGTTTCTCCGTTGCCAATCGTAGGGGACGCTTGGTGCGCCTCCTGGTAGGGTTAATGGAGAAACGACAGCGTACCAAGGCATGATCAGAGTCGACACAGGTACTCCAGTACGAGCGGCAATCCAGGATGGAACCACGCCACCTGTAACTTATGGCAATGTGGTCAATTTGGGTCCATTGCTGGCCAGCTACAGGAGGACGCCAAGTGGCACTTCGGTGCCCACTGTGTCTAAAAGCCGTGCTACTAAGAAACAACTGGTGCTCCGCACACAGTTGCAGCAGACGCTCACCGTTGTCAGTTCGTTTGGAGTTAAGCCCACATTTACCACCCAACTGAGCTTCTGAGGAGCTCAGACGCCCTACTAGTGCATTCATATCCCCTGCAAGTACTATAATATCTGAACTAGTAGCACTGCGTATTAACGCATTCAGTTCTTGATAGAATGTGTCCTTGACAGCATTTGAACTGCAGTCGGTGGTAGCATAAGCGGAAATCAAGAACAAACAGCGTTTTGTACTAAGTCGTGAATCAAC